GCAGATGGAAGGAAGGTTGCTAACCAAATGACTTTAAACTATTGATTAAACTAGATCATTTGGGGTTGCCTGGGTAGGTCCAATGTAACTACTCATTTTTAGTTGTGAAAGGGAATTAAGGAAAGGAGTTGCCATTCATGAGAGGTGGAACACGGGATAAGAAGCTGGTTGGAGTGGGAAGAGCTAGGTTCTAGAGTAACTCATTTCATTTCTTTGGGTCTCTCTCTTTTTTTTAACTTAAAATGGGGGAGATGGCTTATGAACTCCTAGAGATCAGGACTTCATCTTGTGTCCCCATTGGCCAGCACTGTGTTTCCCTGGATGATTGATGGATGGATGGATGGATGGATGGATGGATGGATGGGATGTGAATGAATGAATGGGTAGGCAAGCGGGAGATGGGGCAAACAGATCTCTAAGAGTTTTTCCAAGTAAGGAAACCCGAAATTGTGAGCTTCCCCCGAGTCACAGAAATCGCCGAGTTCAGTTCGAGTCCTACAGTGTTGTAAATTTCCCGCCAGCCAGTCTGATTCGGTGGACTCGCGCAGAGGCTCCGATGGCGCACGGCATGCCGGGACTTGTGGTCTTTTCTCTGAATTTATAATTTTTGCTCCATTCATCGGAATCCTTCCGCGAGGATCTACATGTTTAATCCCTCCGCAGCAGCCCTCCCTCTCTTTGGGGACGACGAAAGCGCCAGGGTCCTTGCTGCACTCCTACCTTCAGTCGTGACATGACGCGATTCCGCAGGGCCCGCTTCCAACCGCCACTTCACCGGGCGGGAGCCTGTGCGTCCTGTTGCCAAGGCGACGGAGGGGGTGGTGCCCGGATCCGCCGCTCTGATTGGATGATCCTAGAGAACGCCTTCAGGAGCGGTCGGCGTGTCCCAGAGGCAGGAAGTCCTCCTCGCCCGGGCGGCCCAGACCCCGCGGGCATTCACGGCCCAGAGCCTCTTCCAGCTGAACTTCGCTGGACCCGAGAGCGCCGAGCCTGAAAAGTCAGCTTTTGGAAAATGCAATGGCCCTATGTTTCCTTACTCCGGCCCTCACTAAGTCACCTGGTCAGTTAGTGGATCAGTTCATACCGCTGCCAATCACTTCTGCTCTCTCCAGTCACTTTTTTTTTTTTTTAATATATTTTATTGACTTTTTACAGAGAGGAAAGGAGAGGGATAGAGAGTTTGAAACATGGATCAGCTGCCTCCTGCACATTCCCCACCGGTTATGTGCCTGCAACCAAGGTACATGCCCTTGACCAGAATCGAACATGGGACCCTTGAGTCCGCAAGCCCACGCTCTATTCACTGAGCCAAACCGGTTAGGGCTCCAGTCACTCTTTGTAATTCTTATGCCAGCACTCACCTCAACGCCTGCAGTAGCTACTTACCTGACCGGTCTACTAGTGACCTCTATTGCCCTGTCCATTCCAGTTTCATTCTCTGCACAGCAGCCAAAGAGCTCTTTCAAACACAAATCTGATCTTCATTCTCCCCTGCATATAACCTGAAGTGGCAACTTATTGATCACTGCACTCTGTCCTGGCTCCCTGTCCTTCCTCCTTCCCCTCTCCACTCCACTACCCCGGGGATCTATATACCAATCATAGCTGATCAGGAACTTTATTTTTTTTAATTTTTGTTATTTTTGTATAGCAACAAAAATATGTTAAGTAGGAATACGTCTAACAAAATGTATGCAAGATATTTTATTAAACAACAGATTAAGTATCTATGTTATGCCCCATTCTTGACTCTGAGGATACAGCAGTGAACAAAATCAACAAGCATCTGTCCTTGTGGAGTTTGTATTCTCATAGAGAAAACTGCAAAACATTGAAGGACATTAAAGAAGGCCTGAATAAATGGAGGGATATACCATGTACATGGATGGGAAGACTCAATATCAACATAAAAATGTGTATTTTCCCAAGTCCAATCAGGAATTTTGAGAGCTCTTGTCAAACCAAAATAACAAAGTGTATATGTTGAGGCAGAAGACATTTCCCTGCCTATCAGCCCCAGTGAATTGCAGGGAGAAGCAAATAGCAAGGGAGTGCAATGGGTGAATCTAGAAACCGACACCGTGTGTGTGTGTGTGTGTGTGTGTGTGTGTGTGTGTGTGTGTGTACAATAGAAGTGGCATCATAAACTAGTGGGGAAAGGATGAAGGACTCAGTAAATGGCACCAAGGACCTGGCTTTCCTAAGAGTGAAAAATAAATGCCTAATTCAAGTGGATTAAATAATAATAATAAATATAGCAAACAAATACTTCAGACTATTAGAACATTTTATTATCTCAGGGTGGAGAAGGAGTTCTTAGATAAGCAATAATACAGGGTGTCCCAAAAATGTCTATATACTTTGATTAATTATTAATTCCAATGGGTTAAATCTGAAAAGAAAAAACATCAGTTGAGCTATCAGCTGTTACATGTGTATACATTTTTGGGGACACCCTGTAGAGCACAACCCACTGGTGATTGAGGCTACAACCTGGCATGTGCCCTAACTGGGACTCCAGCGTGACCTCCTGGCCCAAAGATCAATGCTCAACCACTGAGCCATGCTGGCTGGGCCCCCACATGCTGTTTTTTTCCTGCTGGAAATCTCTCTACTCCCCCTCCCCCACACACACACACCTCTTTCTTCTTCTTTTTTTTTTTTTTAAATATATTTTATTGATTTTTTTGCCCCCCTCCCTCCTTCCCATACATACCCTCCCTCCCCAGAGTTTGATGTCCATTGGTTGTACTTATATGCATGTACACAAGTCCTTCGGTTGATCTATTATCTCCCCCCAGATCTTCCCTCCCCACTGTAATTTGACAGTCTGCCTGTTGCTTTACTGCCTCTATATCTGTCTCTTGGTTCATCAGTTTATAATGATCTTTATCATCCACAAATGAGTGAGGTCACATGGTGTTTCTCTTTCATTGATTGGCTTATTTCACTCAGCATGATGTTCTCCAATTCCATCCAGGTTGCTGCAAATGATGAGAATTCCTTCTTTTTATGGCAGCATAGTATTCCATTGACACACACCTCTTTCTAATCTTTAAATAGCTGGGTCCTTCTTCTATGACAGGTCTCAACTTTAATGTCACCTATTTAGAGAGGTTTTTGTTTTTTGTTTTTCCACTTTCATTCCCTTCCTAGAAAAGCGTGACCATTTATAAATGCTTTGTCTACTTGCTTATTTTTGTTTGGATACCCTCCCAAATCTGAGGTGTCCAATCTGCAGCTAGCAGACAGATACAGCTATGAAGTGTCTGACATGTGCCTGGTTTGAATTGGGATGTGCTCAGAGTATAAAATACACACTGAATTTTAAAGACTTCATACCATAAAAAAAAAAAAGATGTAAAATACGTCATAATAATTTAAAAATACTGACTACATGTTGAAATAATAATACTTTGGCTATATTGGGTTAAAACATCATTAACAACCTGTCTCTTTCTACGTTTTTAATGTGGCTACTAGAACATTTTAAATGACACACATGACTCATGTTCTATTTCTATTGGGCAGCGCTGTTCTAGACTGTTAGCCAATGAAGATAGGAACTGTTTCCCTTTCCTACCTATGTGTCCCCAGTACCTACCCTGTAGTAGGTGCTCAGTGAGTATTGTTGAATAATTTGGTTTTCATGAGCACTCTGGGCTCAGAGAGCGCTGAGACAGGCAGCCCCATGTGTGCCGTGAGTTTGAGGAGTAAAGAAACGCAGAGGCAAAGGTTTTCTTTTTCTCCAGTCATTGCATTTCCAACAGGTTGTCACTCCTCTGTCCTTATCTGTTCTGACATTCCTCGCATAGTCACTACCACTATGGATGGGGGAGGACAGCTGGTTCCCGGTTCCGCTGCTTCTATTTCAGTCCCAGAGAAGGTGTCTGGTCTCCTTCACTTTATATTCTCCAGCTTCGGTCCTCGTAGCAGGAGGGCTTAGCTCAGCACACGGAGGCCCTCAGAGAGGGCAGCTGGGACTCCAAGGGGACCTTCCCAGGGTCACCCAGCAGGCCAGAGGGGAATAGGGCCTGGAACTTTGGTCTCCAGAATCACTTTCCTGGACTCTTGCCTCCAATGACATCCTGTTGTAGTCTCCTTTAACTCGGAGGGGCCAGGTGACTGCAACCTCCCCCTCCCCTCCCATTCACCTCTGACTTCTTGGGGGGGCCCTAAGGACAGATGTGCCTGGCCCCAGCCGAACTGACCCAAATGACCACAGAGAGGTCAAAGAGTTGGGATGAAGAGAGGGGAGGGTCAATGGGAGGATGGATGAATGGAGGGGAGGATGAATCAGTGAATGAATGAACTGGAGGATGGGAGAACAGATGGTTGTGTGAGGGGGGCAGGAGGATGGAGGGTTGGCTGTTAGGGTGCCTGCATGGGGCATGTGGCAGGACCGAGGCTTACAGTTGGAAAGAATTGCTCACTTCTCTGTCTCAAACAGAATTTGAAGAACACAAGGTCCTGCCCCCGTCACTTTTCTGCTAGAGAACCACGGCCAACGGAGCCCAGTGCTGTGCCCCAGGGCCCGCTGGGAAGTCGGGGCAGAGCGGGAGCTGGGAGCTGGGCGCTGGGGCTCTGAGCCCCCGCCGGCCCGAGCCTGCCGGTGCCAGGGGGAGGGGGGCGCCTCCCCCCGCCTCCGGAGGCCTGGGCCCCACGCGGCCCCACAAGCTGCCGTTGTCCCGTGGGCCCTGGGCCCGGCACACTGGGGCTTTGTCCAGTCCCCGCCGCGACCCGCGGGAGGGGCCCCCACATGACCAAGGGGGAAGGAGGAGCCTGCGGCGGTGGCAGCGGCGGCGGCTCCCTCGTTTGCCTCCCTGGCCGGGGGTCGGCGGGCGGTGACGGCGGCGGGGCCGGGCTGGGCGCGGCTGTGGACGCCAGGCCCCCTGCTCCCCGCCCGGCAGGCGCTGGGCCTGGGCCATCGCGGCAGCTGTAACCCCAGCGCCTTCGCGGCTGCAGGCTGGGGGTGCGGCCGGGCCCCCGGCCCGGGGATCATGGGGAATGGCATGACTAAGGTAGGTGGGCGGGACCGCGCCGCCCGCACCTGCTCGCCCCGGGCCCGGGGCCCTGGACGGGGTGGCTCGCCGGACTCTGACCTTCTGGCTCCCGCCGAGTCTCTCTGGGTCTCTGTCCCCTGCTCCCTGTGACTCTGAGATCGTATTTCGCTGTGTCTCTAGGTCTCTGTCTCTCTCTGTCTTTGTCTGTCTGTCTCTCTCTCCCTCTTTCCCTCTCCTCTCCTCTCCATCTCCTCTCCCTCTCACTTTCTCTCCCTCTCTCTCCTGTCTGTCTCTGTAGCTACCTTTTCTGTGACTGTTTCTTCCTGTGTCTGTCACTCCTATGCTCGCTCTCTCTCTCTCTCTCTCTCCCCCCCCCCCCCCCTCTTCCCTTGTCTCTGACTTTTGACTCTCTACCTCCTCCTGTCCCTGCCTCCCCACTCCCTCCTCAGAATTCCTGGCCACCTACTCTGTCAAGTCCACCTCCCCTTCCCTCTCCCCTGATCTTCTGCCCTCCCTCATCTTTCCTCACGCCCCCACCCAAGGCAGCCTGCCTGTGCCCCCTCGTGCCCCCCCATCCCCCTCACAGGGTCCAGGCCCCCAGAGGGACAGGGCCCCCCTGTCCTGAGGCTCAGACAGCCTTCAGGGGATGGAGAGCGGCTGCGGGCTCCAGCTGCGGGTGTGGGAAGGGCCTGCTCCCCTCCCTGCTGACCCTGCCGGCTCACCCTGCCTGTCTCCCCTGTAGGTACTTCCTGGACTCTACCTCGGAAACTTCATCGGTGAGCACGGCCCTCTGTCCCGGGCCATGGCACTCTGCCTGTCATCCATGCTCTGGCCCACGCACCCTGGAGGCCTCAGGAATGGGGCTGGGGGCAGGGAAGTGACACCAGGCTGGGAGGGGGAAAGAGCTCACAAGGACTAAGGGGCAGGTACATGGGTGGGGCAGTGTCTCCAGGGCAAAGGGCTCAGAAGGCTGGACGCTGGGCAAGCCAGCAGCTGCTCAGAGCCTCAGCCTCTCCCTCCGCACCAGACCAGCGCCTCTGCATGTGCTGACCCTGAAGGGCTGGCTTGAGGTCTGTTTGCAGAAGTCCTGGAGACTCAGGAACTCCACTGGTCAGCACTGCCCACTCTGCCCCAAGGCCTTGGCACCCTGCCTGCCCCCGGCCTGTGTTAAGAGACAGGCTGGTCCAGGGTTTGGGGGGCCCATAGTGAGAAAAGTCACTTCCATCTGCAGCGTCAGAGAAAGCTCCCGAGAGGGAGGGGCATCTGAACTGGGACAGGGCCCTCCCCATCACCCTGCCCCCCAACGGCTTAGGTGCCTCCCTCCCATAAGCCCTGGTCCCTTCCTCCCTGGAGCTGCCTCAGCAGCACGTGCCACACTGCTTTCTGAGCATTTGGCTAAATAAGGTCCAAATTCCCACGAGGGCAGAAGCCAGGACTGCCCATAGTGAGCATCAGTAAGTGTGTTGAATGAGGATGTGGACAAATGGGGAGAGAGGCGATGTGTGTCATACACTTTGATTATAAAAGGTCTGTATAGACTGGCAATCCAGCCCCTAAAATTGACCTCTGAGAGCAGTAGACTGTGGGCCTGTCCCCAGGTCACGTTTCATCTCTTTGTTGATGCAGATATCAGATTTAAAACAAAAATGGAAACCTATTCTGCATGTTGTCCTGCCGCCTATATTTCCCATTTAATCATGTATTGTGGACATCCTCGCAGATCTGCATGGTATTCAAGTATGAATATGCCATTTTTTACCCGGCTCTTTTCTGATGGACATTCAGTTTGCTCCCGTTTCTATTTCTGATGTTTTTACCGTTATAAGCAGCACTACAGAGAACAGCGTCCTCTGTACACAAGACCTCATGGGAACAAAACCTTCCGTAGACAAGATTCCTAGAAGTAGAATTACTGGGTCAAGGCTGTGCCGGGAAAGGGTGTTTGCGATGGAAAGAATAGCTCAGGGGAAAGGGGGGCGGGGGAGATGCGGGGCTGTTCACTTGGGGATGCCCCAGAGACTAGACTGAAGCCCAGGAGTGTGGCAGGACCTGCTATGCCAAGAGCAGGAGGCGGCCTAGGAGCCGGGACCAGGTAGAGGGTCCGCCAAGGTGGAGAGGGTGAGGTGAGAAGGAGAGCTGGGCGGGGAGTCGCCTCTCACTTAGCCAACGGGAACACAGAAGTCACACCTGTCAGGCTGGCTCAAGATGCCTGTCTCTTTCAGATGCCAAAGACCCGGACCAGCTGAGCCGAAATAACATCACACACATCATCTCCATTCATGAGTCACCCCAGCCTCTGATGCAGGTACTCCTCCCCCTCCATCCCAGGGCTGTGCATAGATCGGGGAGGGGGGCTTCAGACACACACACCCCAGTGCCCATTTATCATGTACCTACTACCCTGTTTCCCCGAAAATAAGACAGTGTCTTATATTAATTTTTGCTCCCAAAGATGCGCTAGGTCTGATTTTCAGGGGATGTCTTATTTTTCCATGAAGAAGAATACGGTACACATTTATTGTTAAATGAAAATAAAGGAAATTTATTACCTGTATACGGTACGGTAATACGGTAGTTGTCAACACAAACCAGACAAACTGAATCCTACAGTATCAAGAATTTACTCATTTATTCAATGACAATCATGTCATCATCTTCTGGAACATCCTCATAGCAATCCAATTGCTGAATTTCCTGGTGAATTTCTTGTGACTCCATTTCTTTCAGAATCAGTGGACCAAATCTCTCATGTTTAGACTAGGGGGGCCTTATTTTCGGGGGGATGCCTTATATTTCACTCAGAAGGAAACCTGTAAGTAGGACTTATTTTCGGAGGATGTCTTATTTTCGGGGAAACATGGTATGTGCCAGCCGGTCCTTTACTGCCTCCCTGACCTCCTGACCCATGCTGTCTAATTTGGTTGAAAACTGGCCTCTTTAACATTAGCATCCCTGTTTGCCAACTGGGGTAAAGTCATTTGCCGAGATCCACACATCCAGGAAGTTGAGCTAGAACTGGACACAGGCCATCTGGCCCCAGATGCCTCCACCGAACCATAACGGCCCCCACAGGGGCTTCCCATGGCCCAGCTGAATGGATGACCCAAGTGGGTGATTCTGGGCTCTGTGTTTCGTTGTGGGACCTGGTGCTGTGACTCTGCCTCTCTGGGCCCCTGATCCCTCAGCCCCATCTGCCCCCGGGGGCTGTTGGGAGGGGGCAAACGGGCTGTGGGATGGTGAAGAAGCCGAGCACACTGTAAAGCACGGCTCCCACAGGAGCAGCTGGTGCTGGAATCACCGAGGCCTGGGGAGAAGGGGGTGAGGGTGTTTTGACCCAGAGGAGGAAAGCAGGAAACTCAGACCACGTGTGCTGAAGTCAGGAGGCCTGCGTTCACATCTTCACTTATTCTCTCTGTAACCTTGGGTATAATAGGACCGTGGTTGGCAAACTGCGGCTCGCGAGCCACATGTGGCTCTTTGGCCCCTTGAGTGTGGCTCTTCCACAAAATACCATGGCCTGGGCGAGTCTATTTTGAAGAAGTGGCATTAGAAGAAGTTTTAAAAATGTGGCTCTCAAAAGAAATTTCAATCGTTGTACTGTTGATGTTTGGCTCTGCTGGCTAATGAATTTGCCGACCACTGGTTTAGGACAGCACCTCTCGGAACTTCAGTGGTCTGATCTGTAAAGGGGATTTTCTGAGAGTACTGACCTCACTGAATTGTTGCAAGCCACACAATAGGTGCTTAACAATTTACAGCTGATATATTGCAAGGTTAATCTTACTCATCGCACGAACAGAGACCCTTCCTCCTCATCTGTTAGTCTCAGTCACCCACTGGAGGTAAAGAACTGGGGGTGGGAAAAGGCTCTGAAGATCTGAGATTCAGACTAGGTTCTGTCACAGATTTGCTGTGTGACCTTAGGCAGGATCCTTTCCCTCTCTGGGCCTTAGTGTCCCCATGTGCCTGATTTGATTATTTCTGAGAACAACACCCAATAATCTATGCTTCTCAGGGTCACTCAAAGAAGAACTTTTCAGGTCAATGGAGTCTGATTTTGCTTTATAAGGCAGGCTTGTTTTGAAGTAATTGGAGTATGCAGTCACTAGATTGCACGGGGAAGGTTGTGAAGTCATGAATATATTTACTAATGAAATGGCTGCTTGTAAAATGAGTCCCTGCTCCAATAGCCCTCCCCTTTTCTCCCAAGCGTCTCTCCCGCTCTATCCATCAGTGAGTTTACCAGCCAGAGAGTGATTATGCCCTGCAAATGCAAGGCCAAATGTGTTGCAAATGAAATTGCAAACCTTGCAAAAGATGCCGATGGAGTGACCTTGGTGAAAGTGAGTTGGAGAAAGGCTGGACTCTCACATGAAGCCGTTAACAAATGAGGATGTTGGGGGGGGGGGGGGGGAAGGGTTCCCTTAGCCGCTATTAGGTGCTAGCCATTGGTGGGCCAGATACCTGAAAAGAGCCATTTGAATATCAAACGATTAAGACAAGTCCTTAAAAAAAGTGATGAGGTTCTTGTAATGGGCAGAAATCGTCTTTATGAACTTGTGTGAAGGTGAAGCATGAAATGAAGGGTGCTGGAACAAGTTTGTTGGAAAAACTAGTGACACTACACTCCTTGATTATTTTAATAATTAGCACAAGTTTTATAACCACAATTCATGAAGTATAAACTTACTTTTCATAATTTTGTTTCTTTTCAAGAAAATGAAGTCTGCCGTGCCCTTCCTACGATGTAATTTTGTAATCCTTCTTTGGAGGGTAGTCACTCTAAGTGACCCTTTCCTGCCTAAACGAAAGGTCCCTGGATCCTTTTTATCAAGTTCTTAGAAGGTTCCTGAATCACAGATGGTCAGAGCTGGGAGGTCTTCTTTGAACAGGGAGGACAACTGTGGTCCAGAGAGGGACAGGAACTGGTCTGGGATTCAGGAGGCGCTTGGGGGGCCCGGGCTGGGGAAGAGGGTGCAAACAAGCCCCCTCCCACGGCCTGTGTGTGTTTTGTACTTCCAGGGCATAACCTACCTTCGCATCCCAGTAGCCGACAACCCTGATGTACCCATGTAAGTTCCCCAGATAGACCCACAGTGGGACAGACAGCTGCCTCCTGTGACGGTGGGAGGGAGGATGGGAAGTGGTGTGAGGGAAAAAAGAGAGGACTCAGACCAGAAAGCTGTTCTGGGACCCCAGCACAGAGGGTCACCCAGCCCCAAGTTTGACTCTGTCTCAGCCATGCCTTGGTCTGTGCCCCTGACCAAGGCCGTTAACCTCCCAGAGCTGAGTGTCTCCTGCTGTGGATCGGAGAAAGTGCCCGACTCACAGGATCAGCTGCACCAGCGCATTTGGGAAGGTCAGGCTCAGCTGGTTCCTGGCCTTGGAGTTAAGATATCTGGGCTCTGGCCAGGCTTTGCATTTACTTGGTGTGTGACCTTGGATAAATCACTTCCCTTCTCTGAGAGGGACAATGGGGGTGTCATTAGCATTGAGGAGGCTTTCTGAGATCAGATGGCATGGGTTGAGGATCTAGGGTAAGGCCTGAAGTATACTGGGGGCTCAGAACCCAGGATTTTTAAAAAATATATTTTATTGATTTTTAACAGAGAGGAAGGGAAAGGGACAGAACATCGATGAGAGAGAAACATCAATCAGCTGCCTCCTGCACACCCCCTACTGGGGATGTGTCCACACCAAGGTACATGCCCTTGACCAGAATCGAACCTGGGGCCTTTCAGTCTGCAGGCCGAGGCTCTATTCACTGAGCCAAACCAGTTCCGGCAGAACCCAGGATTTTTGTTCACGTTAGCAGCAGTGCCTCCAGCCTGGGAGGGGCCCAGACAAGGCACCGCTACCCCTCCGGAACCTTGCTGTCAGCCCCATTGTAGACCATCACTATCCCCGGTGATGGCAGACCCCCCGAGGAAGTGGGACCCCTGTGTCTCCTCCTACCCATTTCCTTAAAAAATCAAGATTCTCCCTCCCCTGTGAAAATAGGGTCCCCAGGACACACTGGGGAGGTTCTCCGGCCTCCGCAGTGGGATCTGCCATGACTGGCCTCTCTCTCTTGTCTCACACACATCCCCACCTTGTGGCATTGGCCCCTCCTCACTGCAGCACTAGCTGACTGAGGACCTCAGGCTCTTTGTCTCTTGCCATCCCATAAATGGGGAGGGGGACAACTGGGAGACCTCCCCTCCCCTAGTGCTCCCTTCCTATTGCTTTCTTTTCTAGCAAAAAGCACTTCAAAGAATGTATCAACTTCATCCACTGCTGCCGCCTCAACGGGGGGAACTGCCTTGTGCACTGGTGAGTGAAGAGGGGCGTGGGAAGGAAGGGGCTGTTCTCTACCCCAGACACACACTCATCCTGTGGGGCAGGGGGAACGTGTGGCAGGTCTTGTCCAGTGGTCACAATGGCTGACCATCCACGGTTCATGTGATAGAAACTGAAAGGGCGCTCAAATCAGGGCTCCGTCCTTCCCCGGCTGTGAGGCCATGGCTAAATAGCTGTTTCTCCCTGAGACTCAGTTTCCTCATCTGTGAAATGGAAAGAATGCTAACGTGATGGGCTATTGGGAGGGACAGGTGAGGTCATGCAGGTAACCAAATACCCACCAATAATAGTTCTGGCTCCCTCCCCTCCCCTGCCGTCTCCTCCGCTCTACGCATTTGAGCCCATCGTAGTGCAGTGTAGTGGAGAACCCCAGGCTGGGAGACGGGACCCCCAAGTCTTCCCAGGAGCCCCTAGCCCAGTATACGTCACTCATTTCATCACTTCTCCCTGAGCACTAGCCCTGAGCTGGAGCCCCAGCCACAGGAAGAGCTACCTGCAGCCTGTCTCACCCACTCTCCCTCCTTCCCCTGCTCAGAACACACTGGCCATCTCCTTGTTTTTCACGTCCACCAGGCTCCCATCTCCTGGTCTTCCTGCACACTGTTCAAGACTCTCGGCATAGTGTCACTTCCTTAGGAACAGCTTCCCTCATCCTCCCCCTCCCCCACCCCACTAGACTAATATCTCTCCTACTCCATCTCCCAGCCCCTGGACTCAGCTTCATTGTCACCACCTGAAACCTTTCCCTGGTTAGCGTCTGTCTCCTCCAACCATACCATAAGGGTCAGGATGACAGAGACCAACTCTGTTTTACTTCCCACTAGATCCCCAGGATCTGAAAAACAACAGAGGGTCGGAAAACGTCCGTTGAATGAATGGATGAATGAAATGCTGTTTCGCTCAGGACTTGAATGTGGGGGATGCCTGGGGATTGATTCTCCAGGCAGAGGGAACAGAATGGGCAAAGGCCTGGCGGTGGGGAGACAGGTCCTGGCAGGTTCCTTTTGGCTGGAACTCAGGAGGCAAGGGTGGGAAAGTGGAGGGGGGGGGGAGGAGGGAGGGGAGGTTTCTGGGGGGCACAGAGAAGACCGGGCCTTACCTGAAGCTTGGAGTGGGGTGATCAGCTTTGCAGGCATCTCTCGAAGCACCACCGTCGTGACAGCTTACGTGATGACTGTGACCGGCCTAGGCTGGCGGGAAGTGCTTGACGCCATCAAGTCCACCCGGCCCATTGCTAACCCCAACCCGGGCTTTAGGCAGCAGCTCGAAGAGTTTGGCTGGGGCAGTTCCCGGAAGGTAGGGACTGGGGCAGGGGCTGGGGCACGGTGGGAGGCTCTTCCCACTTGAGCTGAGCATTGGTTGGAAAGAAGTTAGCCCTCGCAGGGTTGCTCAATAGTTAGAACACCAACCCATGAATTGAAGGGTCATGGGCTCGATTCCTGGTCAAGGGCAGGTACCTGGATTGTAGGTTTGATCCCCTAGCCCTGGTTGAGTCGGGGAGAATGTGGGAGGCAACCAATCGATGTGTGTCTCTCACATCGATGTTTCTCTCTCTCTCTCTCTCTCTCTCCCTCTCTTCCCCTCTTCCCTTCCACTCTCTCTAGGAACTAATGGAAAAAATATCCTCGGGTGAGGATTAACAAGAACAAACAAACAAACAAAAACAAAAACAAAAAAGAATTTAGCCTCTGCTTCAGACATGGCAGAAGATTTTTCTGGGATCTTTCTGGGGTCTCAAACGCATGGCCCTTGAGCTAATATATCCCCCGGGCGTATTTTGTTTGGATAGCTAGAAGGTTTCTGTTTCACTTACAATCTGAATGCCTTCAGGCCAGACTCTGGACCCCACAATCTGATCAGGTCCCAGAACTACCTGCTCTACCTGCCTGGAACTCCAAGGGCATTTGAGCGTTTGGGCCCCTTTGGAGAGAAAGGTCCACCTCCTACTCTACCCCTGGATCCCTGATGAGGCCAAAGCAGTCCCTTCTCCTTTGCCCAACGGGCAGATGGCACGTGGAGATACCGGGGACCGGGCTTCCCGGACAACCGGGGAAGAGAGACAGAGAGAGAGAGAGAGAGAGAGAGAGAGAGAGAGAGAGAGAGAGAGAGAGAGAGAGAGAGAGAGAGAAGCAGCGGCGAGTGCAGGAAGGCTCTCAGCAGGTGGCGGGCTGGCACCCAGAGGCTTGTCTGCAAGGCTTTAGGAAGGAGGCAGGCAAAGAAGAGGCCGGTGTGAGTGGAGTTCTGTGCAGGGGGGAGGGATTGATGCGGTTTCCGCTGCGCAGGTAGGAGGGTCACTCTGGCAGGTCTGGAAGATGGGGGGATGGAAACGCAGAATGGAGGCTCAGGGGACCTTGGGGAAGGGGAGGGGCTTAGCGAGGCCTGGGAAGCTGGCCCAGGGCAGAAGCCCTAAGGATCGGGGAGGGGGCCGGGGCCAACGGCCTGGCACCGACCGAACCCCTGCCTCCCCACCCCAGCTTCGCAGGCAGCTGGAGGATCGCTTCGGAGAGAGCCCGTTCCGCGACGAGGAGGAGATGCGCTTGCTGCTACCGCTGTGCAGGCGCTGCCGGCAGGGCTCCGCGACCTCGGCCGCCTGCCCCGCGCCGCAGGCCTCGGCCTCCGAGGGGGCCCTGCAGCGCCTGGTGCCGCGGCCGCCGCGGGAGGCGCGCGGGCCGCTGCCGCTGCTGGCGCGCGTCAAGCAGACTTTCTCCTGCCTCCCGCGCTGCCTGGCCCGTCGCGGCGGCAAGTGAGGGCCCCGGCCCTCTTCCTCCTGACCGGTCCCCAGAGGGGGCCCGTCTGGGCCTCCCGCGGCCTCCAGGAGGGCCCCGAGCCCGTGGGCGCCCTGCGGCGGCCCGGCCCCTGCTCCTGCCCCCTCTGCCTGCCCTGCCTGTCCGCGGTGGCGCGCCCTCCGCCGTCCCGGCTCCTCTGCGTCGGGCCTGCCTGCTGCAGCCACCTGGTGCCTTAGGCCTGGGGCTGGAGGCGGGGGCACGGCCCCTCCTCTGAAAGGCGGAGGGAGAGGGCTTGGACGGCCCGCGGGGTATTAAAGAGACACTGAAGCGGCCTTCCTGAGTGCCTCCCAGTTACTGAGCGAAGGTGGGGCAGCGGGACTCTGCCAGGGGCCTGGGGGCCTGCAGGAAGCAGGGGGAGGGGGAGGCCCTCTGCATCCCCTGGGGCCTGCGGAGCTCGCCACCCTTGGTGAAACTGCAGTCCCTGGGCTGAATTCTGAAGGCTTCTCGGACATTCTCCCCCCCCCACACACACACACACACACACTCTATCCCCATTTCTCCCCAAGACTTGGTCTCCTTCCCCTGAGCCCCCTTCCCTATTCACAAATACTAGCTGGTAAATTAAGGTGACCAGATTTTAACATTGGTAAAGGGGGACACCATGGGGGGGGGGGTCTTGAGGATCTCTTGGGGTCCTCCCTCCATTCCCTAGCTTATCGTGCATTCTTTCCAAAAAATCGGGACTTTTTAAAAACAGGGATATGGGACAAATTGTTAAAAATCGGGACGTCTGGTCACTTTATGGTAAATGCCTCCCTCGTACACAAGTTCGCTTAATCCCGGGCAGGCAGCTTGCCAGAGGACACACTCACAGCTGGAGCAGGGGCGGCTGGCGTGAGAGTGAAGAAGCAGCTCTTTCTGGTTTTGGCGGTTCTGAAGAGGAGGACCCACCCCCGCTGATGGGAATGATCTTCCCACCTAGAGTGGAAAGGCCAGGCAGCCGATAAAGCAGCAAATTGACTTCAGGGATGAGCAGAGGCCATCAGAGCTGCCTTCTCCTAAACTAAAATTAACCCAGAGTTTGAGAGGGTTTTGAAGTAGCTACAGTAACAGCCACTGGCATGGGGCTCTCACTATGCCCCGAGCATTGCACCCTCGTGTTGCTGGTGTTCTGGTGGGAAAGACATCAGATAGATGGATAAGCAAAAGGAGCATAAGGCAGGGAGTGAGGGGGTGAGCTGTCCTGCTCTCTGGGGAGAAGCATTCCCCCCGATGGCTGGACTCAGCAGGGTGTGGGGAGCCTGTGGGGTCCTGGCTAACTGGAGGGGTGGGGGGGTGTCACCATCCACTGGGTCAAAAGCACCTTTCTAATTCTATCCGTGCCTTCCCCGACTTAAACATCTCAATGCCCCCCCCCCCCCCCCCCCCCGTTATCATAGGACAAAGCAAACACCTTGATCTGATGTTCCCGGTCCTCCATGATGCCCCCTCCTTCCACCATTACTGTCACCACACTGTGACTCAACAACAACAATACCATTCGTGTACTGACTCTCGCTGTGGGCCAGGCATGTGTTACACATGTCACCTGGATCCCGTTTAATCCTCAAGCAGGCCCAGCAGGGAACTCGTGGTGCCCAAGGACCCCAGCTGGCACGTGGGGGGGGCGGTGATGTGAATCCAGGCAGTCTGGCTGTGGACCCCCCCCCCCCTTCCCACGCACACACCTAATTCCTCCTCCTCTGCCGCTTAGGCAAACGAAGGGCTTGCCTGGCATGCCAAAGGCCTCTGCTTGGATGCAGTTATTTAAATACTTTTGGATTTAATCATGTGAAAGGCCCTATGCCCCATAGGAGCCCTTCAGGCCCGAGTCTGAATCCTGGCCATGGCTAGACGTGTCCGCACTGGGCGGCTGCTGGACTATGGGGACGGAGGGAGGGGAGTGTGAAGGCCCCTCTGACAGGTTCAGCCTCCGGGCAATACTGGCTGGGCGCCCAGCCCTGCACTCACTGCAGGAGGAGCAGCGGTCTCTCCTGGAGCCTTAGTTTCCCCAGGTACATAGCGCCTTCGGAGCAGCCTGAGCTTCCTGACCTCTTTCAGATTGCAAACCCCCGGTGACAATTTAATGAAAGATACAAACTAAAAAAATGCAGAGACATTGAGGGGATCACAGACCCCACAGGGAACCCCTAGGCTCCAGGGATAGCCGTGGTTTAGGCTCCTGGGCTCCCGAGACAGAGAGACACAGGTTTGGGTCCTGGCTGCCCCACCTGTTAGCCCTGAGACCGTGCCACAGGGCTTTCCCCTCTCTGAGCTTCAGTCTTCTTTACAAGAAAAGGGGTAGTTGTACTAACCTCACACGCCGTCTCAAGAACCAACCCAGTCACTGCGGGAAGGCTCTGGCAGGCCTTACCGTGGTGAGCATCCATAAAGGGAGCCCCACGGTTTAAGGAAATCGCTGTCCAGTGGCCCGCGGACCCCCTGGGTCAGACTCACATTCTACAAGTCTGGGGTGGGCTTAGCTTGAGAAGCACTACACCTTTCCAGCCTCCACAGGCCAGGTTCTGCAAAGGGAGGGCGGTTTTCTGGCCGCTGGGAAGAACAGAAACAGGCGCAGCGGTGGGGCCAGGGACCTTAGAGTGCCTGTTGCCCCCACCACCACCACCACCCCTGGGAATGGGCAGAGCCCTGGCTGACCCACGCCTTGCCCCCAATGGGCCTTGGCGCCCCTGGCCCCTTGAGCTGACCTCTGCTAGCGGCCCCACGCACTCCGGGCCAGGCTGCACGGGGAGAGACCAAGGCCAAGGGCCTTCCGGGAGGGGGGACAGAAAGGAAAGCGAAACCTGGCCGGCCAGACTTTCGCTTTCGCTGCTTGCACACGCCTCCCAGGTGGCCCCGCTGTCGCTGCCCTTCGCGCTGGGGGCCCAGAGCTGCGGGCTCAGAGCTGCCCCTCAGCCCTGCGTCCCCGATGGCCGGCGACCCCTGGCGGAGGGAGGAAGGGAAGGTCCCCGACGGCGGCGGAGGACGACCCTCGGCGGGGCCCGGGGGTCCCCTGCGGCTCCGCGACTGGCTGGTGCTGCAGATCGAGAGCGGGAGCTACGAGGGGCTGCGCTGGGAGGACGAGGGCAAGACCCTGTTCCGCATCCCCTGGAAGCACGCGGCCAAGCAGGGCTACCGGGCGCGGCGGGACGCGGCGCTCTTCAGGGTAAGGGCCGGGCAGGGCGGGCTGCGGACCAGCGCGGACCAACCCCTCCAGCACCTGGGCCCCTGGCTCGGCCCTTAGCCTCCCTCAGTCGTCTCTAGTGTCCTCAGGCTCCCCCTTAAAACAGAACCCCACGTCTCAGGGGGCCTCTCCTCCCTCTCCGCTGCGTGAAATGAGATGCCGGTGACGGGAACTCCCTCAGTTGGGGACATTTTCTTTGCTCCCCAGCGCCAGCCCTTCTCAGGGACCTGCCCGTCCAGGGACGCCCTCCCTTTCTTCAGCCAGATTAGCTTCCCCCCATCGCATCCAAGGTCCAGAATCTCTCCTGTGAGCAGTAAGGAGCCAGGTGGCCACCAGCACCCCAAACTTCGCACTGTCTCTAGCTCCCGATCCTCTGGTCTCCCCATCTCCTGGGAAAAGCCTCCTGGCCACCAACCCCCTCACTCGTACCCCTCCCCCCAATTCCTTCTCTCCCTCCCCTGCCCCTTCTGGCTTCCGTCCTTCCTGCTAATATTGTCAGGTGCCAAATCTAAGGTTGCCATCACTGTCATCTGCTTTGACTCCTGGGGGGTGGGGGGTGGATGTCTGGAACTGGAGCACCCTCCCTCCTCCTTGAAACACATTCACTCGGTTTCCAGAATCTCTACCTCCCCTCACACACACACCCTGCCGCCATTTTTCTCTGACCTACCTTCACGGCCCCGCTTCTCAGCCTCCAAGCCCTCCTCTCCTATTCCGGGGCTCTCAGCATCCACTCCTGGGCCTTCCTCTTCATGCCCCATCCTCCCCTTCCTCAGCCCCAAGCCTGTTGGTCTCATAGTCCCCAGGCCTTTCAAACTCAGTATTTCCTCAACACCGCGCTCATCCGCTTGCCCCTACAATGTTCCTCGAAATGTAACATTGCACACGCTGCCACCCAGACCCCAGAGCCAGGAACCTGGACCCTGGCTTCCTTCCTCCCCTCCAATCTCACTCTATTCCACCACCACGGCCTGCTGGCTCTTCCCATGGAACCTTCCTCCATCCACGGACGTGGACCCATTCTGCAAATCTCTCACCAGGGACGTCTGCTGTGGCCTCAGTGAACTCCCTGGTTCCCCCTGTCTCTCTCTCTCAGCGCTCCCCTCAGTCCTCCAAAAAGGATCTTTCTAAATATACATCTCGCCTTGTGGCTCCCCTCCTCAGAATCCTTCCGTAGCTCTGCATTGCCCTTGTGATAAAGTCTCAGCTCTTTATCGTGGCCTCGAAGCCCTGGAGGAGCTGCTCTTCCCTGCCCTCATCTCTCCGCTCCCCACCCACCCCCACCCTACTCCCCACTGCAGACCCAGCGGAGAGTTCTTTCAGTTTCCAAATGCTTCATGGCTCTCTCACCACTGGACCTTGGCACCTGGTGTTCCCTCTCCTCTTCGTGTTTGCCTGGCCACTGTCATGGTGCTCAGCTTAAACGCTTCTTCCTCAAGACTCTTCCCTGCTGCATTCATTTACTGCTCTTATTAAGTCTAACTCAGTGCTTCTCCCACTCCATCCCTGATTCCTTCGGCTTCCTCCACTGAAACCTCTTTCCCTGAGAATGATAAGTGCCTTGGTGACACCGAGCACAGAGCCTGGCACACAGCAGGTGCTCAGAAAGTGTTTAAGTGTTTGCATGGCCTTCTGTGCTGCTGTTCAGAGGAGAGAGATTCTGCAGGCCGGCCCTCCCCGTCCTTCTGGCTGCTCTGAACACCCCTCAGCCCACCCCTGACACACACATGTGACTCCCTGGCTTCATACCTTCCTGGAGCCCAAAGCCCAGGGGATAAAGCTGGGCCTCTGAGGACTTCCGTGACCCAGCTTCCACCTGTCCCTTCCTTGGCTCCTCTCCGCCTTTCTCCCACCACACACATTACCTGTGGATTTCATGTTCGCAAATCCACTCACTTGCTGAAATGTGTAACTCTAAATCAATGCCCAGGCACGGCTGTGGCTACTTACAGACACCTGCAGATGAGTGAACAACTTAAGTCCCTGGACGTGCACATTCCCAGCTGAGGTTGATCAGATGACGCTCTGCCTTCTTGTTTCAGCTCTCACGCTATAAACAAATGTCCTTTTGCCATCTATTTAGTGCCACGTGTTAAATATTTTTGTGTTCTTTTTAAAAATATTTTATTGATTTTGGGAGAGAGAGGGGGGGGAGAGAAACATCAAAGTGAGACAATACATGGATCAGCTGCCTCCTGCACACCCCCTACCCGGGATTGGCCCCCATTACCACCACCCCCCCTGCATGTGGAGGTAGAGAAGCCCTCAGGGGTGATCAGGAATGGTGCCTGGGCGCCGGCAGTGGGTGCAAGCAGCAGCTCTGGCACCAGCTGCAGATGCGAGAGGTGGCTGCTGGCCCCAATTGCCCCTCAGGAGCAGAGGGAGGTGAGGAGTGATAGGGCTAGCACCAGGTGCCAACAGTGGGTGAGAGCGCCAGGCAGGATGTGACTGGGGAGCAAAGAATTTTCAGTAACCACCAGAGGCTCACTTTGGTCTGGCGCCCCCCTCACCTGCTCAACCATCCCGCCAAGGCCGATGCCCACCATGTTCTGTGCATGCTCCCTGGTGGTCAGTGAACATCATAGCAACTGGTTGTTTGGTTGTTCCAACGTTCAGTCTATTTGCATATTAGGGTCATATAGATATAGATGATATAGATATAGATGATAGATATAGATATAGATATAGATATAGATATAGATATAGATATAGATATAGATAGATAAGGTATCCTGTGGAAATACACATAAAACAAAGTTATTGATCACTTGATGAAAATGCTTCTAGATGCTGCCTATACTCTATAGTGGATATCCACCACACACACACACACACACACACACACACACACACACTGTCCCAGGGACACAGCACCACAGTATTCTGCAGGAGCTCTCCCTGAGCCCTTCATGAGCCTCTGTGAGAACTCCTTTTGAATGTGAATTTCTACTCACAGCGTATGTTTCTACTTAATTTAAGTAGGCATGCCAGATGACCATGTACAAGCTCTGCACACATTCCACACCCATCAACTCTGCCCACATCGCAACCAACTCCTGACATTATCCAACTGGTTAAGTTTTGTCAGCTTACAACTGATATCCCTATGTTTATTTGCATTTCTCTAACACTAATGTATTTAAATACTCTTATGTTCAGGGGCTTATGGTTTCCTTTTCTGTAAAGCATTCATTTTTGTTGATTTGCAGAAGTTTTTTATATGTTCCAGATTTAGCCCCTTGCTAATTTCAAATATGGTCCATTTGTTTTGCCTTATGGGTCATACCTTTGAAGGTTTGTTCCCAAGTATTCTCTGCTCCTAGAAGGTTTTCTCCTACATTATTTACTGTTAATTTCATAAGTTTACCTCTTGCTTTTGGTTTCATTTTCTGGAGTCCACTCTCTGTATGTGGCAACAGGATAAGAGTTAATTTTATGGTTCTCCAGATAGCAGCTCACCACATTATTTTATATCCTATCATCCTATTTCTTTTTTTATTTATCACAATCCATAATTTGGAATATAGCTACTACCATTGAGCTGTCTGCAGCTCTTTTCCCATCAGACTGGAGCTCCTTGAGAGCAGGGACTGTGTCTGTCTTGTTCCCCATTCAGTTTCTAACTCAGGCCTGACACATTGTAGGAGCTCAGGGAACATGGGCTAGATGGAGGGAGGGAGGAAAGAAGAAAGGATGGAGAGGTGAAGGGACAAAGGTCAGAGGAAGAGAGAGGAGGGTGGGAGGCAAGGGAGGCCCTCCTTCTTTTTTATAACACCAGTCCCCCACCCAGGATATTCCTGCCCAAATACCCTTGCTATCCCCAGGCCTGGGCCATATACAAGGGCAAGCACCTGGAGGGCACTGACAAGGAGGACCCCTCCACCTGGAAGACACGGCTTCGCTGTGCTCTCAACAAGAGTGTGGACTTCCGTGAGGTGCGTGAGCGCAGCCAGCTGGACATCTCCAACCCCTACAAGGTCTACCAGATTGTGTCGGACAGCGCCCATGGCCCAGGTACTATCTTGCCCCTGGAGGTAGTGGCCAAGAATGGCTCTGTGGGCAGTAAGAACCTCATTTTGCACATCATAAAATGGGAAATGGTAGGCTGAACTAATGGGCAGTTAAACAGAGAAGGACCCTTAAGCCAACCTGTTGATCTCCCCATTTGAAAAGGAGGAAACTGCCGAAACCGGTTTGGCTCAGGGGATAGAGCGTCGGTCTGAGGACTGAAAGGTCCCAGGTTTGATTTCGGTCAAGGGCCTGTACATTGGTTGTGGGCACATCCCCGGTAAGGGGTGTGCAGGAGACAGCTGGTCGATGTTTCTCTCATCAATGTTTCTAGCTCTCTATCCCTTTCCCTTCCTCCTCTTCCTTCCTCTCTAAAAAATAAATAAAATATATTTTAAAACAAGAAAGAAAGAAAGAAAGAAAGAAAGAAAGAAAGAAAGAAAGAAAGAAAGAAAGAAAGAAAGAAAAGGAGGAAACTTAGGCCCAGAGAGAGGTGGTTCTTGCCTGAGATTATACAGTGAGCTGGGGTACTCTGTCTGGGATCATCTCAGTTGAGGGGGTTCCCCTTGGGGCCCAGGAGTCAATAGCCTGTCTCTTACTCTATCCAGTCACCAGCGCTCGTGCTTCCTCTGCAGAGGAGGGCGTTCTCCGGAGCCAGCAGGGGCCCCTCAGGGAAGTGACGGAGCCCGCCTGCGGGCCAGCTCAGGTCAGTGTGTGCCCTGCAGCCCTGCAGCCCTCCAGCCTCGCCAGCTGTCACCTTTTACCCAAACACCCTCTCAATGTCTCCAGCACATGCTCTCCCCCCTCCATGCCCACCCTTCCCATCAGCTCTACCTCACTTCTGCCATCACTTTCAACTCCATCATTCTATCCACTTTGCCTCCATCGCCTCTAACTCCCTCACTGTTCCCATCACCCCCGTCATCTTCAGCTCCATCACTGTCTGCATCAACGCTATTTTCTCCAAGCTTACTCCCTGACCCCTGTCATCAGTGGGTCCATTACTCTGACCCAGTCACCCCATAAGATCCAGTTCTACCACAGACTTCCCTTCACTGTCATCACCTGTAGCTCTCACCCCATCATCTCCATCTCCATCACTGTCTGTATCACCCCTACTATCTCCACCCCCATCCCCTCTCCCCCATCATCAGTGGTTCATTGCTCTCTCCCCATCCCCCCGCCAGTCTGATCCAATCCTCCCTCTCCCTCTCCCCCTCTCCCTCACTCTCTCTCTCTCTCTCTCTCTCTCTCTCTCTCTCCTGCTCCTATCAGCATCCATTCCGTCACTCTGTCCCTCTCTCTCTCACTTCTGTTCCCCATCCACTCCTAGCACTTTCCCCCCATCGCAGTGGCTTCATCTCTGACCCCATCACCTCCAACAATCCCACCAACTCTCTTTTCACCTCTGTGGGAAAAAGGTCTTAAACTCCAATTCCTGTCAACCCCAGAGAGCCTTCAGTCTACCCAGACTTCCTCTGCCCACAGTCTGGGAGCTCCTCCCTACTCCCCCTCTCCCCCCACTATCCTCTCTCCTGGTGCTCAGGCTGGCTCCGGATTGGCCACCGAGGATGCGAACAGGGAGCAGCCCCCCAGGCTGGCCCAGCAGGGCTCCTCGGCGCCAGCTGCCTTGCCCCTAGGCCCTCTGGCTGACCACAGTGAGTACCGGGTCCCTCGCCCACCCTGCATCCTCCGGCCTCCCACAGGATCTTGCTCTAAGGGTCCAGGGGCACAGGGTGAGGGGTGCCTGAGTGTGTTCCCTCCTTCCCCAGGGTACCGGGCTCCGGAGCCCTCCCGCTTCTGGAGCCCTTTGTCCCCTGAGGACTCCAGCAACCCCGGTAAGGAGTCCAGAGGCTCCCCTCCCACCACCGTGCAGGCCCGGGGCTGGGGCCAGTTACCTCTGCCTCCCCCCACGGTACCCATCCCAGACTCCCACTAATCTTTTGCTGAGGGCTTAGTCGCTTCTGTGCATCCTTCTGAGCTCTCCCCACAGTCCTGAGAGAGAGATCCTGCCACCACCCCCATTTTACAGAAGCCAGACCCAGAGGTGAGGGACCTTGCCCAAGGTCACACAGCGAGGGACTGGGGACGTTCCTAGCAGCTCCTAAATGCCAGCGAGAGAGGAGAAGCCTGGGGCCTGGCTGCAGAGCCCACAGCCCTAACCACTGACCACTGCTGGCTCCTCACAGGGGAGGCTGCTGCTTTGTTATGTCCACCAGCATTCGTTCATGTATTTGCTGGGAAGAAGCTCCTAAAATCCCAGCGTTGGGGCTGGGAAAGCCTCTGTGGGAGGCCCCCCACGGTACAGAGAGTCCCAGGCTCTGCTTTTGAAGCTCAACTTCCATTCCGCTTTTTGTTTGTTTGTTTGTTTGTGGTTGTTTTTTTGGGGGCGTGTGTGTGTGTGTGTGTGTGTGTGTGTGTGTGTGTGTAATAGCTAATATTTATTGAACAATTACTATGTTCCAGGCCCTGTATTAAGCACTGCTTCTGGAAACATATTCAATTTATTATTTTTTTATTATTATTGATTTTTTTTTTTTTTTTACAAAGAGGAAGGAAGAGGGATAGAGCGTTTGAAACATCGATGAGAGAGAAACATCAATCAGCTGCCTCTTGCACACCCCCCTACCGGGGATGTGCCCACAACCAAGGTACATGCCCTTGACCGGAATCGAACCTGGGACCTTTCAGTCCGCAGGCCGACGCTCTACCACTGAGCCCAACCGGTTTCGGCTCCCATTCCGTTTACACTGGAAGCTGCGTTATTTACCGCCCCGCCGCCACTAGAATGATTGCTATCTCTTGTCGGGGGTGGGGAGATGCGGGGGCACCCAGGGTCCCAGGCCCTGCTGGGGGGTGAGATGCGGGCGGTGGGAGCTGGCGCCGCCCTCACCGGCGCCCCCGGCCCCTCCCGCAGGCTGCTGGCTGCACGTGCGGCTCTTCTACGGCGCCGAGCTGGTGCGGGAGGCCACCGCGCGCACCGCCGAGGGCTGCCGCCTGGGCCCGCGCGCCGCCGCCGCGGACGCGGCCGCCGAGCGCCTCCTGGGGCCGCCGCGCGAGGCCCAGGTGCGCTTCCCGGAGCCGCCGCCAGGGGCGCGCGCGCTGCGCCGCCTGCTGCCGCACCTGCAGCGCGGGCTGCTGCTGTGGGCGGCGCCCGAGGGCGTGTTCGCCAAGCGCCGGTGCCGGGGCCGCGTGTACTGGCGCGGCCCGCTCGCCCCGCACCGCGCGCGGCCCAACAAGCTGGAGCGCGAGCGCACCTGCCAGCTGCTGGACACGCGCCGCTTCCTCGAAGGTCGGTAGGGAAGGTGGGGCCTGGGTGGCTGGCGGGGCACAGAGTGGCCGGACACAGGATGGGCAAAGGGGTGTGGGCAGGGGAGAGTGGGCAGAGAGGTGTGGGAGCAGAGGAATGGGCCTCAGGATGCGGGGCATGGGGCCGACATGGAAAGAAAGGACCTGGCACAGAAGTCCTGGCAGTGGGAACGGATATGGGCATCAGGGAGCTGGGCACAGATATTGCCGTAAACAAATGGGAGATATGGGCGGGAACAGGCTTGGGGCTGGGGGCATGGGGGCAAAAGCAGAGGCGTGGGCAGGTATGTTGTCTCGGGCAGGGCACTAGGCGTAGGGTGGGCAAGAGGGGCACTGGGCACAAGATAGGCATAGCTGAGTGGCAATGGGCATGGATAGGCATAAAGGCAGAGCAGTGAGCTTAGGAGCACAAGACATGGGGCGTGAGCACTGGAAATGGGCACGGATGTGGGACATGAAACATGTGGAAGTGAGCACAGGGCATGGGTGTGCACAATGGGGATGTGGGCTCATAGGACATGGGCGTGGGATATGAGCGCAAGGTGGGCACCAGGTGGGACGTCCACAACCTGTGCCCGCAGAGCTGCAGGCCCACCTGCAGGATGGCCATCCGGAACCCGAGTACCAGATCCATCTGTGCTTTGGCGAGGAGTACCCTGGGCCCCCGGACCAGCCCCAGGAGCGGCTCATCATGGCCCACGTGAGTCACCTCCCACGCCAGGCCCCACACCCGCCAGTCCCCTCTGGATAGCCCCTCGCTGCTCCCTCTGGTCCCAGCTCTGTCCCTGACCTGCTATATGGCCCTCTGGATGTATGAACCTCATGCAAAAGGTGTGTGGGGAAGGGACCGTCATTAGGCTGTGACTTCCCACAGGAGCATGGAAGGTGGATAATGGGGAGCGTCGGCTCATTGCCTCTCCTTGCCCCCTGCAGGTGGAGCCAATCTTTGCCCGAGAGCTCCTCCGTTACGCGAAGCACCACAGGCACAGTGCCCCGGGCGCCAGGCCCCAGGCCCCACATTTCTGATGGCATCGCTCACGTGGTGACACAACAGCCAGCCCTAAGCAGCTGCTTCTCCCTCATACCTTCTAAAGTCACACCCCCCTCCCCCAACGGGATGCAGATCCCACCCCAGCTCTGCCCACACTGAGCCAGCGGACGTGGGCCTTCCCCACCCCGCACCGAGCACGGCCTCCGGCCTCTGAGCTGAGGAGACGCAGCCCCGGAGCGCAGTGTGTAGGTGGAGGGCCTCCCAGCAGGGCCCGGGTGTCAGGCGGAAACTGAGCTGGACCTTGAGATGCCAGAAGCAGCAATCAGAGCAGAAGAAATAAGACTCCTTCTCTTTGCAGAGAGCTCAACAAGCCCATACGGTTACTCTAAAGCAGACCTTACCTGAGACTGATCCATGATAAGCTTTGCGTAAAGCTTGAGTTTACCTCGAAGGGGCTCTGAGTTTCCAGACTCTTCTCCTACCTGGGTTTGGGGTGAGGGGAGGAGGTCCCAAAACAGAGGACTTGGCCTGACTCGGGGACTTTGGATACTAACCAGTAAGCCATCAGCACCAGGAGACACTTTCTTTGGAGAAACTGAGTCAGCCCCGCCCCCAAACAGAGCCCTGGGGCAGAAGCCAAAGGGGGAACTAGGAGGAGTCCAGCCCCTCCCCAAGCCCCTTCAAACTCTACAAACTAAGTTGTAGCAAGTCCTTGAGATTGGGAGGGAGCCCCTCAACCGTGAAGGCAGTTAGCCCTGCTTTGTCAGTGAGTCACCCCTTTCCACCCCTTTCCTGGTTTCTGACTTGAAAAGGCTGCTTTTGCAGGTGGCACCACAATAAATCTCTTTCAGTGAGACATTAATACGTCACACGTTGCCCGGATGGCGTGGCTCAGTGGTTGAGTGTGGACCTATGAACCAGGAGGTCACAGTTCGATTCCCGGTCAGGGCACATGCTCGGGTTATGGGCTCTATCCCCAGTGTGGGGCATGCAGGAGGCAGCCGATCAATGATTCTCTCTCATCATTGATGATTCCATCTCTCTCTCTCCCTCTACCTTCCTCTCTGAAAGGAAAATGTATATTTTTAAAAAATAAATAAATAAATCACTTTTATGGGAGGGGAGGGGGACTATGATTCAACAAAGGACAGAAGTCAATCCGATCGCTGTTTTTTTAAAATTCATTCAATAAATGTGGACGGAACACCTGTTCCAGGCCAATGCTGGACCCTGGGGATAGAGCGAAACAGCATGGCCCCTACTCTACTGGGGTTCACAGCCTGTTTTCCAGCGGGGGCCCCCGGACTTCTCGGTCCCTGCCCCTCACAGGAGAGGTGGTGTGTGAAGGAGTTACAGAACCCTAGGTTGAAATCCTAGCCTTTTCATTCACTCGCTATGTGACCGTAACCAAGTCGCTTCACTTCTCTGAGCCTCAGATTCCTCGTCTGTCCAAAAGCAGCTCTGAAGGCCTCTGGAGCAGGGGTGGTCTGAGAAGTACATGTGGAGAAGGGAGGTGAATGGGCCTGGCATGGAAAGAGCACACAGTAGGTACCCTCTGACTTGGCTACGTGTGGCTCAGAGAACATGGAGGAAGCTCCCCCATCTTTCAGAAGGCCTGAGTGTCTGTCCTGGGCTTTTTGTTTTAGTTTTTGTGTCCCTGGCCCAAGGCTGCAGCGGGCAGGGATCTCAGTTCAGAGTGACTGTCCTCAGCCATGTCCTACTCTGTGGTAGGCTCACAGAGGGTGCTGGGTACTATGCAAGGGAGCCTGTTGCCTCCTCACCACAACTGGAACAGATCAAGAGTCACCAGCTCCGCTGAAACCGGTTTGGCTCAGTGGTAGAGCGTTGGTCTGCAGACTGAAAGGTCCCCGGTTCGATTCCGGTCAAGGAAATGTACATTGGTTGCAGGCACATCCCCAGTAGGGGGTGTGCAAGAGGCAGCTGGTTGATGTTTCTCTCTCATTGACGTTTCTAGCTCTCTATCTCTCTCCCTTCCTCTCTGTAAAAAATCAATAAAATATATTTAAAAAAAAAAAAAAAAAAAGAGTCAGCAGCTCCACTTTAGAGGTGGGAAGCATAGGCTCAGCCAGGGTCAGGGACTTGCTTGAGACACCTCATGGGGGAGGGCATCTCCCTACCCAAATGTCTGTCCTCCCTACACCACTAGAGGGCGCCTGGTCTCAGCCGATGGGTTTGGCGGGCTCTCATCTCCTTCCCAGGTGCCCCACCCCACATTCACCCTGCTGAGAGGAGATTAGGGAATAAATAGTGTGGCCTCCAGGGCTCTGCGCTGTGGGAAGTTGGGAGAAGAAGGCCTGGGAGGAGGAGAGGAGGAAAGGGGAACTGGAGTGGGGACTGGAGAAGCCCTTGGTGACTTTTAGCGGGGAGATGCCCAGTTCTCTAGCTCAGCACTTAGAGTTCTCCCTCTCTCCGCAGGGATAACTGTCTCTCTATCCCTCCCTCTCTTGTGGGTGTTGTGTGTGTGTGTGTGTGTGTGTGTATCCTCCTTTTCCTCTCTATCTCTGTACATTTGTTTCTCTATTTCAGTGATTCTTTTTCTGTATACTACGTGCATGTATGTGTGCAAGTGTGTGTACTTTTTGTCTTATCTTTGTCTCTTTATGTCTCTGCCTCTATCTCTGTGTGTTTTTATCTCTTGCTAGATTTCTACCCCTCTTTGTGTCTGTCTCTGTCTCTTCCCCCTCCCCACTATCTCTGTCTCTTTACATCTCTGCCTCTGTCCCTTTTTGTTTCTGTCTCTGTCTCCCTCTGTTTCACATCCTATCCCTCCCCAGCCACCACCAGGCAGCACATGTGGGCTGAGGGTCTCACTCAGTCCCTTCCTTCCCAACTTCTTGCCCCTGGCAGCGGCTCAAAACTTCCCAGTCCAGGCCTCTCCTGCCCTCCCCTCGCGGGCCTTGGAGGAGGGGGTGAGGGAGGAAGGGAGGGAAGCCTGGCGGGCCCACCCCTTTTTGCCTTTCCAGGCTGGGAGGCCGGGCCAGTGGGCCTTTTAACCAGCCTGGGCAGGCTGTGCCGGACACCAGCCCTGGACGCGGTGCCTGGCTCCCGTGGTCCTGGCAGCCGCCGGCCCGGCCAGCCCAGCCAGCATGCAGCAGCAGCAGCCCCCACCGGGGCCCCTGGCCCCCGCGGCCGAGCCCACCAAGCCCCCCTACAGCTACATAGCCCTGATCGCCATGGCCATCCAGAGCTCCCCGGGGCAGCGGGCCACGCTCAGCGGCATCTACCGCTACATCATGGGCCGCTTCGCCTTCTACCGCCACAACCGGCCCGGCTGGCAGAACAGCATCCGCCACAACCTGTCCCTCAACGAGTGCTTTGTCAAGGTGCCCCGGGACGACCGCAAGCCGGGCAAGGGCAGCTACTGGACCCTGGACCCGGACTGCCACGACATGTTCGAGCACGGCAGCTTCCTGCGCCGGCGCCGGCGCTTCACCCGGCGCGCGGGCGCGGAGGGCACCAAGGGCCCCGCCAGGGCGCGCCGGGGAGCCCTCCGAGCCGCCGGCCGGGAGGGCCCGGGAGCCCTCGATGCCACGACCGGCAGGCAGTGCCCGTTCCTGCCGGAGCCGCCGGAGCCCAAAAGCCTAACCTTTGGGGGCCTGATGGGGACCTTGCCAGCCAGCCTGTGCCCGGCAACCGCCGACGTCAGGCCCCGGCCGTCTGCGGAGCCCAAAGAGATGCCCACGCCCAAGCCTGCAGGCCCAGGGGAGGGCCCCGTGGGCACCTCGTCTTCCCCGTGCCCGGCCTTTGGCTTTCCTGCCGGCTTCTCTGAGGCTGAGGGTTTTAGCAAGGCCCCGGCACCCCTCCTGACCCCCGAGGCCGGCCTTGGGAGCGGCTACCAGTGCCGGCTGCAGGCCCTGAATTTCTGCATGGGCGCTGACCCGGGCCTGGAGCACCTCGTGGCCTCGGCGGCGCCCTCCCCTGCGCCTCCCACCCCTCCGGCCTCCCTGCGGGCCCCGCTGCCCCTGACAGCTGACCCCAAGGAGCCCTGGGCTGCGGGCGGCTTCCCGGTCCAGGGGGGCTCTGGCTACCCTCTGGGGCTGACCCCCTGCCTCTACCGGACACCGGGAATGTTCTTCTTTGAGTGAAGCCAGCCTGGCCGTGGGCAGCCCCTGCCACGTCGCCCTCCAGGCGAGCCGGGCTGTAGGATCCGGGAGCTCTCCAAGGACCCAGGCCTGGCGAGGCCGACAGCCGACAGCCGGCACAGGAAGCCGAGACTGGAGTGGTGAACACTCAGCCAGCACCAGGGCCTCCGGACAGACTTGGGGGGCGGGGAGGCAGAGCCCCCCTGAGGTTTATCTGTGGCTCTCAGGGCCAATAAAGCCGGTGTGACGATGAGGGTCAGCTTGCTGGACGGTCGGGGGCTGAGGGCCGGGAGGCCTAGCTCTGTGGCGGGGCCGTGGTTGTGGGGTTGTGTGGCAGGTGAGAGACCCCCGGTGGACATATTCCACGTGAGGACTCCTCCTGCTGGGGACTTTCTCGGGGAGTTTCCCAGGAAGGCAGAGGAAGGGGGAGCAGGGATTGGGGTAGAGAGAGGAGGGAGGCAATCGTGAGAGATAGCAGGGGGGTGGGGGGTGAGGCCGGCCTGGCCGGAGGGACTGGTTCTCCAATCCCAAACTCTGACTCAGCTGCCCCCGTCAGGATGGGTCCGGATAACCGTGACCATTTGTGTCATTCACTCCATCCCAGGCTTCTTCCTCTCGCCAGAGCCTGTGTGATTGGGATGATACCCTCGTTTGACATGGGAGGAGTCGGAGCCTTGGAGAGTTTGGGGTCCTAGCTTCGACTCCAGATGGCACATGAGTGGCAGAGGGGAAATGGAAACTGGGTGTGTGTCTGCCCCAGGCCTGGCCTGCAGCGTGAGCGGACGCAGGGTAGAAGCAGAGCTGGTGGTATCTGGAGCGGAGCTCACGGGGTGGAGCTCAGAGGGTTCAAATGCCAGTGGTAAAAGGGCACAGCTTCTCCCTTTCAAGGCTCCAAGGCAGGCACTGGTCCCTCCTCTGGATTTCCTGCAAGAACCGGGCCTCCTGGGTCCCAGCTCTCTGAGCTCTCCTGATGACTTAAGAATGCATTTCTCACCCTAACCGGTTTGGCTCAGTGGATAGAGCGTCGGCCTGTGGACTGAAGGGCCCCAGGTTCGATTCCAGTCAAGTGCATGTACCTTGGTTTCGGGCACATCCCCAGGGGGGAGTGTGCAGGAGGCAGCTGATTTATGTTTCTCTCTCCTCGATGTTTCTAACGCTCTCTCCCTCTCCCTTCCTCTCTGTAAAAAAGAAAGAAAAGAAAAGAAAAGGAAAGGAAAGAAAAGAAAAGAAAAGGAAAGAAAGAATTTCTCTCATGGTGGGGAGGGGAGGGGCTGTCCTGGGTACAGCCCCAAAGTGACAGAGCCCTGGCCTTCGGCCCTCTCTGGCTGCCCCCGTGGGGAAGCAGGAGAAATGGGTGTATTGTGCCCCCATTGGAGGAAGGAGCTTGGGGTGTCCCACTCCCTCATGTCAGAGTGGCTGAGGCCCCTTCCAGAGCCTCAGTTCCCCCTCTGGATCATGGGTGTAGGAAGAGCAGGGCCAGGATACTGAGGGACCCCTTCCTGGTCTTCAGTGTGGTGTTCTGGGTGGCACCCAGGGGGCTGGAGACCCCTTCACGGGGCGGGCAGCCCAGGCCCCTCAGAGGCACTTCCTGGGCAGGCCGCCACAGGGACTTCAGTCTCTGCTCTCCCTCCTCCCTCGGCAGGTCCCCTGGGGCTTGGGAGGAAGCGAGCCCGGCTGGACAGCCCCAACTGTCTGGTTCCCACAGGCTCCAGAGCCAGGGTGGAAGGGGTCCTGCAGGGTGGGGGCGAGCTGAGGCCGGAAGGGGTTGAGAAAGTGCCTGGCCAGCTGTGGGGCCCCTCCCTTCCATGTCTGCTGGACCCCGGCCTGGAACCCATTGGGCGATGGGAAGAAGGAGAGGGTCCGTCCTGTCACATTGGGACGGCCTTGTGGGTGAGAGGGGAGGAGAGAAAGGTCCTGTGTGGGGTGGGGGTGTGGATGAGGAGAGGGGAAGGAGGCTCTCGTGTGGATTCGTAGATGGCATGTGCCTGTGTGGGTCAGTATGTCTCAGAGTGTGTGTGTGTGGGTGTGTGTGTGTGTGTGTGTGTGGTGCACAGAGACAGTTACAGAGACAAGGACAAGCGGATTCAGGGAAAGAGGCCTCTGCCAGGCGCTGTTCCCTGTGGTGCATTCCTCTGGAGACCTGGTGACCCCAGTTCCTTCCCAGCCTGTGTCCTGAGCTCGTAGGAGGATGGGGAGGCTGGCCTGCCTCAGGGAGCCCCAGGCTCTGCATCCTGCCCAGCCCTCCCCCAAGGAGGTTTGGCTTCTGAACTGAGGTGGGGGCGTGGGGAGAAGAATGCTGCACCCCCTGCCTGCCCACCCTTTGCCCCGGGGGAAACCCACACCCAGGAGCGCCCTCCCCACACCCCTCTCTGGCTCCCAGCACGGCCGAGAAGTGAAGACAGGCCCCCCTCAGTCCCAGTCCCCATCAGGACCTGGGCTCGGTGCCTGCCTTGGACTCGCTGTGTGAGACTGGACCAGTGCCCGCCTCTCTGGCCCTGGTTTCATTCCCTTTGCCCCAGGGAATGGGGGAGCAGGGAAACAGCCTGACTTTTTGAGTCTGCGTCCTAGAGGAGGGTGTGACCTGGGCAGGGGAGGGGGGGGAAAGGGCTGGAGGGAATCTCACCCCAGAAGTGCTGGCCCCAAAGGCCCAGACATCATGATCTCACGTTGCCCTCTGCTCGCTGCCCAGCCTGGGGACCCCACCCACTGGGCCTTCTGCCCTCACATTCTTTCCATGACCAGCAGACTCCCTCTGGCTCCTGCCTGGCCACCCCCACCTGGGGGGGGGCAGTTCTTGGCAGAGATTCAGAGTGCCCAAGCTGGCGGACCCCGGGAGTGCGCCTCAGCACAGAGGCGGGAGGTGACATTCCCAAGGCCACTGGGCACGGCCTTCCGTACCTACCATGGCTCCTCCCTCTGAGCCTAAGCTGTTTCAGGACAAGGGCCACCCCACCTGACTGCTGCAAGGACCCTTCCCCCGCGGACTCGTCCGAACCAGGAGGGGGTCACAGCCCCCACTCCGCCCTGAAGGGTAGGGCGAAAAGGGTACTGAGTCACCTCGCTAACTCCAAACTGGAAACGGTGAAACCAGTGGTATGTCAGGATGTTCCAGAGAGTTTAATCACAGCAGCAGCTCAGATTCTTGGAATGTCAGAGGTGAAAGGGCGTCTCCTGCCCAGCTTCTGAACCCTCTCTGCACCGAGTAGTGCATACCATATGGGGGTTCCAGGACAAGGGGCCCCTGACTTCAGAGGCACCTCGTCCCCTTTGGCAGCTCCAAAGGACTGTCAGGAGGCTCTTCACCTGCGGGTCCTTCGGTCTCAGCTCTCCATCCCCAGGCGGCCACCCCCACCCTGGGGCCGGGCCTTCCTCAGCAGCTCCTCCGCCCACCCTCCCGTCTTATCTCCCTCCCGCTCTCCCACCCACGTTTCCTTCCCCGGGTTTCTGGCATTCCATGGCCCAGAGTCCAACACTCCTTCCCACACCCCGGGCAGCCCCTGGGCCAGGGGTGGGGAAACCTTCTCCCGTGGAGGGCGGGTGCTCTGAGGCCACGCGTGATGAGGAAGAAGGAAGGGGGAGGCCGTGGCAGCCAGCCTGGCATGTCTGCCCGCTGGGAGTGAACGGAGCCCAGGAATCCAGGCCTCAGCCAAACGTGTCCTCCCCACACCCCACGGTCTCCCACCTCCCCCAGGGCTGGGCTGCCGGAGGCAGTAGGTGCAGCAGCTAAGAGCAGGAGCTCTGGGAGCCCAGCTGCCTGGGTTCAGATCCGAGCTCTGTCAATTCCCAGCTGTGTGACCTTGGGCAAGGTGCTTTCCCTTTCTGTACGTGTCTGTGTTTGTCTGTAAAGCTAGAGGCCCGGTGCATGAAACTCATGCACTCAGGGGAGGGGAGGGGGGTTGTCCCTCAGCCAGGCCTGCACCCTCTTGCAGTCTGGGACCCCTCAGGGGATGTCTGACTGCCAGCTTAGGATCGGGCCTAAGCTGGCGGGCGGACATCCCTCTTGTAGTCTGGGATCCCTTGCTCCTTACTGCCTTCCTGCTCGCTGCTCCTTATGCGTCAGCTCTGGAGGCTGGCGAGGCTCCCGCCACTGCCACTGTTATCACCAGTCGTGAGCCTGGCTTCTGGCTGAGCGGTGCTCCCCCTGTGGGAGCGCACTGACCACCAGGAGGCAGCTCCTGCTTTGAGCGTCTGCCCCCTGGTGGTCATGCACTTCATAGCAACCGGTCATTCAGTCTATTTGGATATTAGAGTTTTATTATGTAGGATGTGGACATTAACAGTACCTACCCCCATGGGGTTGTTGTGAGGATTACATGAGCTAATATTTGCAAAGTGCTTAGAGTAGAGCCTAGCACATGGAAGCTGCAATATAGTTGTTAAGTATAATGAATAAGTATTTGGGCACTGGGGGCGCGTCCCCTTAAACTGATTTACCCCCCAAGGAAAGGCCACGCTACCGTGGAGGTGGGGGAAGGCAGGGGAGGAAAGACTGACATAGACAAGGCTCTGAATTTAATTCCTGGCATCTCGTCTTCCTGGCTGTGTGATCTCCAGCACACGGGCTCACCTTCCCAAGTTCCAGTTTCTTCATCTGTTCAATGGGGACAATGATGCCAATTCCCGGACTGGTGTGTGGGAAACCCGCACAGTATGAGTGTCAGTCAGTCAACAAGAATAAAGTTGGAACATACAGCAGCCCCCGGAAGGTCTTGTAACCTCAGCCCAGCCTGCGCTGCCTCTTTGCCGGAGCAGAACTTCCCTCCCAGCAGGCCTGGAGGTGCCTGGCCCCCTGTTCCGGCTGCTAATTGGCTGGTGACGCAGAGGCAGCCGGTAGGGCTGAAGGAAGCAGTTCCCGGCTAACAATGGGCCAGCATCAGCCAGCACCCTGCCTGGTGCTCCCTAGAAACACCTGACCACAGTCCTCGGGGTGCACCTGTCTCTCGGATACAAATGAGAGGCTGATCCTCCGGCTCCAGGTGAAGCCAGCTGGTTCCCTGGAGGGT